CGAGCTTTTAAGCGCCGATCAACCAGCTTTGCACATCTTTTTGTTAAACTCCTCTTCTTGGTTGCACAAAGAATAATTTAGCTAAAGGCGTAATTAATTTTGGCCTAAAATAATTCTGCTGGGTTTTTCCCCTAGTATCATGATTTGCCGTTGTAAAGCATAAGCTAATTCATTATGTAGATCCCAGCGCTTGTGATGTGTGCTCACGTAACCGCGAATTATTTTTAATATGTTTTATTCACTCTTTCTGCTATGTTTGCCTGTGGTCATACGGAACCTTTTGAAGACGTATGCCAAGTCCATTGCATATGTTTTCAAATATTTGACTAAGAATTGTTTCCGTTATCGCTAATGACTTTTCGGTGCCACCGTATTTTAAATGTACTGTGTAAGAATGCGTCGGCGACTGTTTGGCTGACGCGCGTTTAAGTGGAACAATTTCTGTCCATTTTGAAAATGATCTACTATTTAAGCAAACGATTTTTATTTAACTCGCTCTGGGGAAGGACCAAGAAGATCTATGCCAAAATTTCATTCGGAAATGTAGCGCGAATGCTATTTAAGTACCCGCCGGGCTGTAATTAAATCATTTATTAACTGACAGATTGCAGGACCTGACATACGCCGTTACTATTTTGTATAATTGCGGGAAATATACGCCTCGCGTACCCTTTTTAAAGTCTTTCTACCCCTAAATGGCCTCTGTTTCGCGTCGTGTATTCCTTCAAAAGCTTAATCGAAGCGAGGCTGGATGACTGGTTGTACTCAAGATTTTCGTTTGTTGTTTTCGTATAAAATAATAAATTATCTTTATTTCATAGTTTCTTCTCCTCTATTTCTTATCATCGATTGTCTGTGTGCTCAAAGCTTTCGGGGTCTTTCAAATATGCATACATATTTCCAAATCAGGATCAGCTTTCAGTTCAGTAATAATCGTATCTCTAGAATCTAAAATTTTGAAGTCAACACGCCATTTAAGTCATTCCTTCATCGTCAGTTGTATACGAGAAAGTGCGTCAGCTACATTGTTTTCTTACCCGGTTTATATTTTATTCTGATATTATATTCTTGGAGTTTAAAGCCCATCTTATTAACCTGGCGTTAGGTTTTCCCAGAGTAAAGTCTACCAACAGCCGCATGATCCGAAAGACTGTACTGGCGCTTGCCGAAATAAACTCGGAATTTTGTACAGCCATTAATACGGCTAATGTTTCTCTTTCTGTAGCTGTATAATTCCTTTGTGTCTGATTCAACGTTTTACTAAAAATGCCAGAGGTGGTTATTTTGCATAAGAACCGCACCCACCGCAAAGTCGACGCATCTGCTGCAATTTCCAGGTTTTCGTCCCCCTCCGGGAATTTTTAAACAGGGGCATTAATGAGCGCTTCTTTTAATCTTTATAATTATATCATCTATATAGATTAAAGTTGATTTTCCTAGGACAGGCTTTAGAACAATGTTGGACAGCTCTCTGGAATGTTGATGGGGCCCACGCAACCCAAAGGGCATGCGTAAAAATGCATAAGTGCCCGATTTTGTATAAACACGGTTTTATGTAGTCTTCGGGTCTCATAGCTATTTGATAGTAGCCAGCGTTAAGTCCAAAGTAGACATGTATCTTGTCGATTTGATCTGTTCTAATGATCTCGTCTATAACCGGCAAAGGTAAACTGGAAATTTAGTAATACTATTTAGTTTCTGTAATCAATAGCAAACCTCCAAGCCCTTTATCGAAGGAGGAACTCGTTCTTTTTCCTACATAGTACGACTGGCTCGCGTACTCACTATTTATGGGCGTATTATTTTATCTTTCATCTCCTGAATAGTCCTTCGATGATTACGTCTTTTTGTTTGTCATACCGATAAGGTTTAGTCCTACAAGGTTTTCGGCATTTATTGAATCTTGTGCGTGACTATTTGACAATTTCCTGGTTTTTCTGAAAACAAATTAGAAAATTACTAACCACTTGCTGTATTGCTTGCCTTTCATGTCATTCAGATGGCTAAGTCCACTTGCGGGTCTCCACAGGTTCACCACCCTCTGGTCCATCTCCAGCACAACGGAACTGTCTTGAAATTTAATTTGGCCCTCGCGGCCCTTAAAAAACTCTATACCTAAAATAAGAGGATTTTGCAGATTTTTCACTATAAAAATGAATACTTTGAGGCTTTCCTCTTTTACCTGTAAGTTTAATGATAATTTCCCGATGCATGACATGTTTTTCCTTGCGCCGCTTAATTTCCGTATTTTTGGTTTTTAAATAATCATACCCTACAAAAATTCTTTTTGAAGAAATTTTCACTCATAAAATTTCCTTCTGCTCCGTATCGATGAGGGCTTCTACTGGTACATCGCCAACCAGGACTTGTATAATTGATAGCTGTGAGTTTTTTTACGATGACCGTATTTAAATGTCTATTGAGGGTTTTTTTAAAACTTCCGGGGTCTGACCCTCCCTTTCCAGGCCCCTCTACTCGTTTAAAGCTTTTCTTTCAATCTGTGCCTCTGGGTACGCGGATGTTTATTTTCGAATTTTCTTTTTGGGTCTTGACCTTCGAGTTTCGATGAGTTAGCTTGACAGCTCTTTCCCCCATAAGAGCGATTTCCATTTCGGTTTCCTCATTTGAAGATTTCCTTCGGGTACTTTGAGAATACGTTGCCCCTCTGGCTTTTTCCGCTATTCTGCGATTCTTCACCACCAATTCGAAGAGCTCCTGCAAGGTGCTTGGGTTTCTAATTTCGAAGTAGTCTTGAACAGCGGGGTAACAATCGGGTAAGATTATTTCAATAATCTCCGCGTCGGGTTTCTTCCCGTACAGCATATCCGTCAGCTTAATTTTTCGCAGAATAAAAGTCCGTCAACTCTTCTATATCCCGTTGATCGAAACTATATAGTTCGGCTTCCAGCCTGCTCGATCTTTCACTATGGGGAAGGCCTTTACTAACGATTTTTTGAAATTTTCAATGTATATGTCTGGCTTCCAAATTCCCCTAATAAAAATTTGCTTATAATCTTCCACCATAGCGCGGCCTGTTTCTATCATAGCGCGGCCTGTCCTCTTAGTGCGGATGTGGCGATGGCAACGTTTTGTCTTTCAGGCACAGGGTAGAGCTGAAAGTGATTTTCTAGGCCTTCTAGAAATATCGCCACCGAATTTTTTCCGTCGAAATTGACGTTTGGCTTGATTGACGCTCTCAAAGTCTGGACCAGGTATCCAAATCCTTCCAATTGGCTTGCAATTTCTTGGTGTTGTCCCGCGGCTTCCATCCGATTTTCGGCCATTTCAGTTCGATAAGAATTCGGGCTCCAATGTAGAGTTGCGCGCCTCCAAATTGCACGCAACCAAGAGTTGACTGTGAAAACTGGATAAAATACAGAGTCTTGTTAAGGGTTTAAGTCCCTTTTTATTCAACGTAATAAATTACAAGTGCGTGCTCTTGACGCTCACAAACTGCGCCAACTCGGCGGTCAAATAAAAATAATAACCTGAAAGAAACTAAGACAAGACTCTAATTACGAGGCTCTCTAAAAGTAACGACTCACCGCGTTTTACAATACCGCTGCTAATTCAGCAAACTTGAAGATCACTTGAACGATTAACACTACTTCCAGGCAAGCACACAGGCCGAAACGCGGGGTTCTTCAATTTCTGGCCAACTACCTCCGCGCTCGTGAAGTAAGAATATCACACCTCGAACTCGTTTCCTTTCTATTTAAATCAGAATACTTCCGCTGTTCCGCTGATAATTTGAATCCTTGCGCGTTCTACTAAAATTTACATACTCTGGCATTGGCAGTTCCAGGGGAAAGTAAGGCTTGACAGGAAAGATAGTTTAAACTTAAAATTAATGTTAGTTAAAATAAATATAGACCCTACAAATGAATAAATATTAGCTTGGTAAGCTTATGATTTTTTGGCAACTAAATTTGATGTTTAGAATCATAATTAATTGTGGCATGAGTTAAGCAACCGCCCACACGTAATACATCTTTTCCATCTAAAAATGGGTTTAAAGTTTTTACCTGACTTTTGATTACTCTCTGATCTTGAAGTGATTTAATCTCATCTGCAAAATTCTATTACCTGAAACCATTTTTATCAAGTGCATTTCCGCATCTTGAAATTCAGTACTACTAATGGGGCTTGTTTTCTTCACTGGACCTTTCAGATTGGACAGAAACCTGAAAATAAGATTTAAGATTCTAATTAGTTTAACATAATTATTTGTTAATTCAAAAAAGGTATTCCAAAACAAGTTTAAATTGCAGTTCAAATTAATGTCTAAAGGTTTTTTAAGTTCATCCTGATAAGCAGGAGAATCTATGAGAGTTTTGTGAAGTTCAGATAAAGAAGCATTACTAAGTTCTTTCTGTTCAGGACCATTCCACCACAAGGAAGATGTCACAAGTTCATGAGGATAAGCACCACGAGGAAATCAGATCTGCCGGATTATTTGCTGATGATACGTGCTTCCAGTGTCGCGGCTCTACTAGTCTTTGGATTTTGGAGACTCTATTTGCAACAAAGGTCTTCAAAAGATGAGGAGAAGTCTTCAACCATGACAGTGCTATCGTTGAATCAGTGCACAGAATGATGTCATCTAAATGCATCTTCAATGAGTTGCTAACTTTCGAAATCAGATGAGCCAATAACAAACATGCACAAAGTTCCAATCTTGGAATAGATAAAGTTTTCAATGGAGCCACACGAGATTTGCTGGCTAGTAGATGAGATGACGAGCCGTGATCTTCATCGACACAAATCAAGTAGACAACTGCACCATAAGCGGCTTCCGAAGCATCTGCATATCCAATGAGTGAAATCTTGCTTGGATGATTGGAGAGGATGCAACGATTAATTTTTTTATGTTTTCCAACAGTCTTTTAAATTTGAAACTATCTGTTGCCATTCGTGAGCAATAGTTGCAAAAAGTGGTTCATCCCAACTCAGTTTTTGAACCCATAATTTCTGTAAAATATCTTGGCTTTGGTGATTACCGGACCAATCATTCCTAAAGGATCATAAAGTCTGGCAATTGTCGATAAAATGTCTCTTTTAGTATATGATGATTTCTCCTTGATTGAGACTTTAAAGCTGAATTCATCCTTCTGAGAATTCCATGTAATGCCTAAAGCTTTAACCACATTATCACTTTTGGAGGAGAATGAAAGCTCAGAGCTTGTAGAAGGGCTATCCAACAGTTCAGGAGAATTAGAGTTCCATTTGTGCAAAGTCATTCCACAACTATGAAAAAGCTGTATAAGCTGATTTTTCAATTCCCTTGCTGAGTCTAAGTTTGATGAACCAGAGATGACATCATCAACATAAACAGTCTGACAAGACAGCTTTGGCAGCTTCAGGATATTTATGCATTTCGTCATATGCAACTTGCTTTATGCATCTAATGGCTAAAAATGGAGCACTTTTAGTACCATAAGTCACCGTTTTGAGTCTATATGTCACAAGGTGAGTCGCTAAGGTTTCTCTTCCATAAGATTCGAAGTAAGTCTCTTTGGGATTCATCAACTAAAATTTGACGGTACATTTTTTGTATATCCACAATAACTGCAACTGGATGTTTTCTAAATCTCACAAGAATATCAAAAGTATCTTGTTGGACTGCTCCCTAAAAGTAAGTCATTCAAACTTAAGTCCATTTGAGCTTGGGGCACTAGCATTAAACACAACTCTTAATTTTGTACTTGACTTTCTCTGGTCTATATACTCCATGATGGGGAAGGTAATATTCAAGTTCCGGTTTTGAATTATCATCGACCCTTTCCATATGGTCCAAATTTTCATATTCTGTTATGAAATCTTGATATAAATGTTGCAATGTAGCGTTTTTGCTAAGACGTTTAACTAATTGATTGAGTCTAATGTTGGCTAAGTGCTTTGAATATCCTAATTGTTCGTCTTTCATAGGCAGTTTTACGATAAATCTGCCGTCTTCATTTCGTCTGTAAGTGTTTTTGAAATGTTGTTCACAGAATTCTTCTTGGCTAAGCATTGGCTTTTCTTCACCAATATTTTCCACTAACCAAAATTTTTCTACCAATCTATCAATATTATCAACATTACCGAGAAGTCCACAATAATTCTGAACCAGTAGCTATATAACCAAACACAGAATTTCTGAAAACGAGTGATTTTGTAGAAGATTTAACTTGGCCATTAATAAAAATGTCATAAAATATTTCTGCTCCTAAAAGCAGATCTATACTAGATGGAGTTGCAAATTCTGGATCAGCCAAACTTGATGTATTAGGAATATCTATATTTTCAATATTTAATTTTGTAGAAGGTACTAAATCTGTGATTTTATTTACAACTAAAAAATTTAATGAAGCAGAGAACGAATATTTCCATTAAAAATAGAAGCAAAAGTACAAGATTTAATGTTTGAAATTTGCCCATTTAGACTAGAAACGGGAGTATTTATTCTTTCCTTTTTTAAGTTTGCACGCTCACAGAATTCATTTGTAACAAAATTTGACATCGATCCTGAGTCAAAAATTGCCCTTGCTTTAACGAATTGGCCGTAAATATTTCTAACCGAAACAATCGCAGTTGAAAGGAGAACAGTTTATTTTTCGAAAAAAGACACGTCGATAAGGCTTTTTCTGTTGATTTATTGCTATTCAAAACAGCCTCATTTTTGCGGTTCTCTGGGAAGGGCGTAATTTCACTTTGCTTTTCCCCACTTGTTGCAGACGACATGGATCCGTCATTCCGATGAAGAAGTGAATTATGTTTAAATTTGCAAACCGAACAAAAGTGTCTAGACTGACAGGAAGCTACTTTATGATTTGACTGTAAACAATTAACGCACAAAGAAAGCTTTTTAATCATTTCGTATCGTTCCATTGGATTTAATGCTAGAAATGTTTCACATTTAAAAACTGCGTGATTATCTTTGCAAACCGAGGGACACATAAATTTATTATTATTATTCGTTTTTGTCACTAACGATCGAACCTTATTTGGAGGAATGTTTTGTTTTGTTTTTGCAAATACAGTTTTGTTCTGCATATATTCTAACATCTGGCATCGCTTTTGAAGAGATGTCATGAAAGAATCCCATTCACATAAATCATTACTATTTAATGACATTTCAAATTGCTTACGCGATTCTTTATCTATTTTATTGAGAATAATATTAATCAGCAAAGCTTCGCTTAATTTATCCATATTTAATTCCATAACTTTTAATGCTCTTAAATGTTTCTGAACTTTATCAATTAATGAGCGTAAATCTTTAGGATTTTCATGAACTATTTTTCAATAGAAAGTAATTCATTGATATGAGAATTTACAACCAGTCTCTTATTATCATATCTTTCTTCAAGTGCCTTAAATAAGGAAGAAAATGTATCATCTGTAGTTTGTATCTGCTTTGCATCACCAATTAAACAAGATTGTAAATAAAAACAATTTCTGAGAATCTGTTAATTGTCTATTAGATGAAATTAAAGCTACAAATTGGTTTTTAAATAAATTCCAGTCTTCGAAATTGCCAGAAAATTTAGGTAATGTTATTTCAGGCAATTTATAATTCAATGAATTACTCCTTGTTTCTGGGATACTATTATTTACATTCTTAGTACATAATGAAGTATAAAGACATTTCAGGCTTACCTGAACATTGGTAATATCCATCTCGATTTCTTCAAAAGTAGCTTCGATGCCTGATATTTCTTCATCTTTGCACACTTTGTAATAATCCAAGCGAAGTTCATCAATTTGTTTATTTAACTTGTGCACTTTTTCTTGCAATACTTTGGTTTCGAACAAATAGTTGTTCGAAATCATCACTTTTTCCACTGACAGACGACTTTAATTTCGTAATTTGAGCTCTAATACCACCACGTTTTCTGTTCAACGTAGTTATGTCTTCATTAGCCATTTTTTATTCTAATTATCTCGGGCTCAATGTTGACCAATGTTTTGAGGTCGCTGGTTAGACTGTATACTAAAAATAACTTTACAACAACAACAAAAATTTTATTTCGTGGACTGTATCATAACTAAAAATTCTAAATCGAAAATGATAAATTCCCGACCATACGGGATGAAAAACATGCATGCTACGCTAGAAGTTCGAATCTTAACTAACTAAAATTGCGCAGAAACAATGGGCTGTACATAACTTATATTGCCGCGTAGGAGGCAACAACTGGCATATCAGATGACCGATGATAAAATCATTGCCTCTGTTTTGAACTGGCCACAGCAAGAAAACAATTTCAACACAAATACTGAATTTGATAGAGATTAGAAAATATTTTTTAATAAGGGTTTGGAACATGGTGATAAATACCTAAAATTTTTAGAACAGAGCAAGAGATTCTAACTCTATACAATTTATAAAAAAAACTTACTCTGGAGCACCTTAAAGTTTTAAAACAAACCTCTACCAGAAAAATGTTTTAAACGCGTTACAAAAATTATGATTTATTAATATCCCTCATTTTTATATGACTTTATTGTACAGTACAGTCTTTAAGCTGGACTCGTCGGGACTTCGGCGATTCCGGATTAGGGGTTTTACCGGATTATAGATCATCAATTTAAATCTGGTAAGATGGCATGCAGAAATTATACAATTAAAAATATGAAACCATAATTTACGAAATAGAGAGCAATTATGATCTAAAGGGTATCAAAATGTACAAAAAAAAAAAAAAAAAAAAAAAAAAAAAAAAAAAAAAGGTGTAGACTTTAAAGTACCCCTTGTATTATGGCGAAGTTGTTGTTTGATTTATCGCCAAGTTGTTGTTTCATTTATGGTAGCCTGAGTAGTTGAATGTTGTGGAAACCCTATTGTGACGTAATCAGGTGCATGATTCTGGGAAATTTTGAATCATGGATGTTTTGTAAGCGTTTTTGTGGTGTGTATTGGTTTGATTCTTTAGACGGTAGAATGGCCGAATGTAGTAAGATTAATTTGAAGTTTCTGTACGATTTGGAGCGAAAGGGGAAAAGAGCTTTAATTGACTGGTGTGTAAATGAAGGTTTACTTAGTAGCCATTATAAGTGTCCTGTATGTAGGAAGGATATGCGTCTAGTCGAACGCAAAAACCGTTTAGATGGATTTGAATGGGTTTATAGGAAGAAAGGTTCAGATGGTCACTATGTGAAGCGTTCGATCAGAAAGAGTACCTGATTTGAAAAGTCACTTGAGTATGATTGATATTTTGATTTTTACATGGCTCTGGGTGTACGAAGCAAACTCGAAAATCACGGTAAGTGAATATTTACTTTTGGTAGCGCTTAAATGTATAACATGTTTTTCCTTTTTTATGTTATTTTATTGTTTGGTTTAAAATGTATTTTATTGAGATTATGTGTTTTTGTTTGCCTATATTGTAGAATTTGGTTCTCCTTTGACTTTTTAAGTGAAAATATATCGATGTGTACATGGACAAAGTAAAGGGAATGCGCAATGCAAGTTTTCGCAATTCTGGGATTTTTTTTTAAGTGAAAATAGGTCGACATGTACATGGATAAAGTCCAAGGAGTGCGTAATGCCATTTTTGTGCAGTTTTTTTTTAAAGTGAAAATAAGTCGATGTGTACATGGATACCAAGTTTGTGCAATTGTTTGTCTTGTTATTTTGGCTTGGTATCCATGTGCCGCCAAAACTCACCAAGGGGTAACCTAAACTACACTTTTACCAAAAAAAGATTAATATTTATTTGTTTACTTTATTAAACATTTCTTTCAATGTAAGTTGTTTAAGTTGCTTCGTTTTTTGTGCTAATACTTTCTCTTTAATTCTATAAACAGACATAAATTCTTGTTCAGTTACAAAGTTCCACTGTTCAAGTCCTGTAACTGCCATGTCGAGAATACCAACTAACTTGTCAATCGAAATTTTTTCGTTTTCAATAATTTTTCTGTCACTTTCTTCACTATCAGAAGCACGCATAGGTAAACGTGCATGCGTGAACGGTTGGTCCCTGTTTGAAAAAATTCACAAAGATGATTCTATTGTGGATGAAGACAAATTTCAATATATGTTGCAATGTGTGGTAGCAGATTCTAAAGCGGCAAGACTGGTAACAAGTTTTCCACCAACTAAAGAAAGCTATTCAAAGGTAATTGCAAAACATATAGAACGCTTCGGGAGAGATGAACTTTTGGTTCAGATTTATGTACGGGATCTACTTTCCATAGTAATGAAAAATCCTGCTGATAGGATCAAAGAAGATTTAGCTGAGCTTTGTGATTTACTTGGGAGCAAGCTCATGGCACTTGAAAGCCTCGGTAGAACTAAGGAAAAATTTGCAGAATTGTTAGAGCCACTTGTTGAATCCTGTTCACCAGAGACTGTTCATCGTGCGTGGGAAAGAAGCCGCTCGATGGAAGATACTACGTCACAGCAAGATAACACATGTATGGATTGCGTTGTAGCCTTGAGAGTTGCAACATTGCACCACCATGAGTCCACAATTATTGCGTTATTTGTGTGTCTTACAGATGAAAGATTGAATTGGAGTTCAATATTATGTAGATCATGGCGAGTGATTAGACGCATACGTATAGATCACGAATTTCGCCTAATATGCTTTCGAAAGGAATACCAGCAGCAATCTTGGAAGCTAAATACATTCTAGCTTCCTTTGAAAGAAACATATCCAAATTCATTTTTATGTCCAACATGAGTCTTTAAGTACTGAACACACCATTTTCCATCAGTTTCAATAACTGTAATACTTGCTGGACAAGATCCTTTTTTTTTAGCCCTGTAGTTTTAAATGTCTAATACCACTGCCTTCTGGTGTATAAGCACCAGAACGATGACGTAAAAAAAAGTAGTGAGTATCTGAATTTCTTTATTGGGCACCACGTTCGACTATAAAACTGCCTTTTGTATCGGTTTCAATGCCCTTTTTACACACAGTAAATTCTTAAAAAGAAGGGAACTGCAAATCTTCAGTTACAAGGCATTTATCATGGACGTTTTCAAAATGCTTCAGCAATTCTGCCTTTTTAGATGTAACGCCTGCAGATTTCGTCGGAATGAATACGTCTTCGAACACTCCAAACATACAAAATTACCTTCCATAATGACGCTAAATATAAAAAATCAGTAACACCTTAACTAACTTCAAACTTCTTATCCAGGCTTAACTTCTGCAACGTGACAATCTTAGTGGAATAACATGTCTTTAGTTGCCAATCTGATGATGCATCACCAATCCTGTATAACGGACAGCAGCCAATAATGCCAACGAAGCTTGTCACTGCGTATGCGTGAAGCAACTTCAATGCTAGGGCGAGACGCTACTATACAAACACCCATTCATTATATAAAAAACTAAAATATTAAATAAAATTATTGTCCACTGAAGTGCAAATACCCTTACAAAATGAGCACGTAAAGCTGTGAATGTGATCTCAGAAAAATCAAAATACATAATTATTTGTTAAATGATGAAATTATACTGTCAAAATGTAAGAAAAAAGTCCAGTTTTAAAACTGTGATACAGGGACGGTGGTGCACTATTGAAGCGTCTTTCATTGTAGTGACAGGGTTTATGTTTAAGTTAGGCTGCTTTTAAACTGCAGATTGAACCAAAAATGCATTTATTGTTTTTATGACATCGGATTCGACGTGCGACCGTTTACTGACAGGTCGCTTTTGTATTAGCTCCCGACAGGAATAGTGATTTTCTATCTTTAGTGTGTGTTTTTATGCTTAACTTAGTGTATTTCCTGTTCTTATGACTCTCTTTTTGAGAGACAATGGACTTGAGTGATTCCGAATACGGTCATGTGTATTAGATCCGATTCCTCTTCTGCAGAGAAATTAAAGATTGAGAAGTTTATTAAAAGCAAGGGCTGCCCATACAGGGAAGTGGTTAGTGACTCTGATTGCCACACCAAAGGGCCCAGGTTCGAAACCCGGGAAAATTGCAGATAAAAATTGTCTGTCCCTTCATAGGAGGTAACGGTAGCAGCTTATTAGATGCTTCCATAATAAAATGGCCTCAGTAGTGGCCAAAGTCTAAAAATAGCTAGTTGCCGCCATTAAAAAAAAATTTAAATTAAAAGCAAGCTGTCCGAGTAAAAAAAAAAAAAAAAAAAAAAAAAGAAAGAAAGAAAGAGAGGACAGAAATGTAAAACTAAGGTGTTAACGACCGACTCCGCACTTTCTGAAATCCAGGTTCCGGCTGAGAGACAAAGACAGATGTCCGAAAATCAGAGAACAATTAAAGTAAAGAAAAACGGAACCGGTATAGTCTTGGAAGTTTCAGTTAATCACTCAAAAATTCAGAACCCGATTATACAGCACTTGGTTTTAAACATCACAGATCTCCACCAAAGTTGCAGATAGATACTTCATTAAAGAAATGACTGATCACGAAGTCAAGAGGAAGAAAACTGCCCCTAACATGTTTCTAATGGCACATGGAAAGTTAAATGGAGGAGTACAACCTCTCCTAAACAAACTTGAGCTTCATCGTCCAAAACAGTAAAAGCCAAAGACACTAGTTTGTGTATCTGAAATTCAACAGGACAGCAAGTTTAATCACCTCAGAGAAGAAAAACTAAATGATGGAAATACGATTACTGATTTAACTCAAAAAGAAAGTATCAGAGTGAAACTAAGCTCATATTTTGCCAAAGAGCTGAAGTAATAGGGAAACACAGGACTTTTTGGCACAACATGAAAAAAGGATTATGAAAGTACGCAGGCCGTTCGACAACTTTTCTAGACAATTTGCATTGCATTTACGGAAATACTTTACCTAAAATCTTTGTGTTTTAAATACTTCATTTGATAATACTCTTCGCTGCCTTT